GTGTAATGAATCGTGTTTTGAGTTGACTCAACACGCGTGTAATGAATCGTGTTTTGAGTTGACTCAAGACGCGTGTAATGAATCGTGTTTTGAGTTGACTCAACACGCGTGTAATGAATCGTGTTTTGAGTTGACTCAACAGGCATGTAATGAATCGTGTTTTGAGTTGACTCAACACGCGTGTAATGAATCGTGTTTTGAGTTGACCCAACACGCGTGTAATGAATCGTGTTTTGAGTTGACTCAACACGCGTGTAATGAATCGTGTTTTGAGTTGACTCAACACGCGTGTAATGAATCGTGCTTTGAGTTGAATCAACACGCGTGCAATGAATCGTGTTTTGAGTTGACTCAACATGCGTTTAATGAATCGTGTTTTGAGTTGACTCAACAGGCGTGTAATGAATCGTGTTTTGAGTTGACTCAACACGCGTGTAATGAATCGTGTTTTGAGTTGACTCAACACGCGTGTAATGAATCGTGTTTTGAGTTGACTCAACACGCGTGTAATGAATCGTGTTTTGAGTTGACTCAACATGCGTGTAATGAATCGTGTTTTGAGTTGACTCAACACGCGTGTTATGAATTGTGTTTTGAGTTGACTCAACACGCGTGTAATGAATCGTGTTTTGAGTTGACTCAACACGCGTGTAATGAATCGTGTTTTGAGTTGACTCAACATGAGTGTAATGAATCGTGTTTTGAGTTGACTCAACACGCGTGTAATGAATCGTGTTTTGAGTTGACTCAACACGCGTGTAATGAATCGTGTTTTGAGTTGACTCAACAGGCGTGTAATGAATCGTGTTTTGAGTTGACTCAACACGCGTGTAATGAATCGTGTTTTGAGTTGACTCAACACGCGTGTAATGAATCGTGTTTTGAGTTGACTCAACACGCGTGTAATGAATCGTGTTTTGAGTTGACTCAACATGCGTGTAATGAATCGTGTTTTGAGTTGACTCAACACGCGTGTTATGAATTGTGTTTTGAGTTGACTCAACACGCGTGTAATGAATCGTGTTTTGAGTTGACTCAACACGCGTGTAATGAATCGTGTTTTGAGTTGACTCAACATGCGTGTAATGAATCGTGTTTTGAGTTGACTCAACACGCGTGTAATAAATCGTGTTTTGAGTTGACTCAACACGCATGTAATGAATCGTGTTTTGAGTTGACTCAACAGGCGTGTAATGAATCGTGTTTTGAGTTGACTCAACACGCGTGTAATGAATCGTGTTTTGAGTTGACTCAACACGCGTGTAATGAATCGTGTTTTGAGTTGACTCAACACGCGTGTAATGAATCGTGTTTTGAGTTGACTCAACATGCGTGTAATGAATCGTGTTTTGAGTTGACTCAACACGCGTGTTATGAATTGTGTTTTGAGTTGACTCAACACGCGTGTAATGAATCGTGTTTTGAGTTGACTCAACACGCGTGTAATGAATCGTGTTTTGAGTTGACTCAACATGCGTGTAATGAATCGTGTTTTGAGTTGACTCAACACGCGTGTAATGAATCGTGTTTTGAGTTGACTCAACATGCGTGTAATGAATCGTGTTTTGAGTTGACTCAACACGCGTGTAATGAATCTTGTTTTGAGTTGACTCAACACGCGTGTAATGAATCGTGTTTTGAGTTGACTCAACACGCGTGTAATGAATCATGTTTTGAGTCGATTCAAAACACCAGCCACGCACACCCCTCACCTTCACACCTACTCACGCACTTGCTTCTCAATACACGCTCTTGCAATTGCACCCACCCACCCACCCATCCATCCATCCCCCTCACCTGTCTGTACGTTGTCATAGAACTCCCGCAGCGGCACCACTGCCAGCAGCTTGGGATGCTAATGTCCTCATACACATGTTTATCCCCATACCATCTTACCTGCACACCTACCCACCCACCCACCCACCCACCCACACACAGCACCCTCACCTGTACGTTGTCATAGAGCTCCCGCAGCGGCACCACCGCCAGCAGCTTGGGATGTTTTGCACGTGAGTGGCACAACAAACACACTGTTCTGTTGCTGTCGCAATGTCACACCGTCACACATATTGCACCCACACCCACACCCACACCCACACCCACACCCACACCCACACCCCACCCACACGCCCCACCACACCCCACCCATCCCCTCACCTGTACATTGTCATACAGCTCCAGTAGTGGCACCGCCAGCAGCTTCAGATTCTTGGGAAGCGAATCTACATGTAAGTACCCTTGCCTTATACTGCTACCACAATGTCACACAACCACACACACCTCTTACACCCACCCACCCACCCACCCACCCATCCATCCATCCATCACCCTCAACTGCACATTGTCATACAGCTCCACTAACGGTACCGCCAGCAGCTTGAGATTCTTGGGAAGCGAGCATGCCTGCCTTATACCTTAGTTGGAGTATACGCTCTGAACATTTTGCGTATTGCGTTTATACGCGCTAAAAAAACGACCGCTGCGTTTTTGGTTCGGAAACGCTGAAAAACGCTCGGGCAGACCGGGAAAAAAAAATCAAAATTTGAGTTTCGTTTAGCGACATGGCGATTCAAGTGTGGGGTTTCGCACGTCGCGAGTGCAACCCCGAATTCGAAATTTGAAACCGAGTCGCACCAAACCCACCCTTTACCATTGCAAACCCCCTTGTACCCCGTTCACTTCCAACCTCTTCAAATACAATGTTGAGGTGAGTCCCCCTCAACCCACCCACCATTCCTACCATAAATGTCGTGTCGTGTCTTTCCACTCGACTTTCATTATTCAGTTTAGCTCTCTTCTTTAGCTCGCCTTTCAGTATGGCGACCCCTCCTGCAGCAACACTCAGTACTAGTACCCCTACTGCAGCTCCTAATGCTAGTTCTGTTGAGGAAACCAGCGCCGGTCTGGTTATCATGCACGGAACCCATGCTGTGTACAAGCATTTCCTTGTGAAACCCGGCGACGACAGCGACCACGCCACCAAGGTGTGCATGTACTGTCGCCACAAGTTCACGGGCGGTATGTACCGCGCTGCTCAGCACATCACCAGCTGGAAGGGTATGCGGCGTCGTGAAATCCGCCTCTGCGAGGAAGCTCCCAAGACCGCGCGGGATGGAGTGAAGTCACAGTACGAGACGAAGTCCAGGACCCGGGACCAGAAGCGCGCGGCTGAAGTCTCGGCCGTTGCTGCAGTTTCCGGTGCTTCTCGCGAGGCGAAGAAGTCTCGCATGACCGATTTCTACGGCGACGCGTCAGCCTGCAAGAAGAACGATGCCGACGAGTCGATCTGCCTCGCGTTCGCTGCTCTGCGCCTCCCCGAACACCACGCGGACCACCCTGTTTGGCACAACATGGTCTCCTGCATTGCGCGTGCGGGCGAAGGCTACCTCGCACCGAGGCGTCGCTACGTCGGGGGCGTCGGGCTCCAGAAATGTCGTAAGCGCATTGAGGCGGCGCTTGCTCCTATCGCGGCGAGCTGGCGGCGGGATGGCGTAACGGTGTCAAGCGACATGATGACTGATCGTAACGGCCGTCCGCAAGCCAATGTCCTTCTGATCAACGACAGTGGCGCGGTTTTCGCTGAGACAATCGACTCACGGATGGAATCGAAAACGGGAGGTTACATCGCGGGGCTTCTCCGTCCCATTCTCAAGAAAGTCGGACCGGAAAATGTGGTGGCATTTTGCATGGACGGCGGCTCGAACTATGCGGCGGCGTGCAGGGAGCTGATGGAGGATTACCCCCACATTGAGTACATACCTTGTGCTACCCACGTCCTCGATCTGTTGATGGAGGACGTGGGGAAGATGGATTGGGCGAAGAACCTTGTCACCCGCGGGGGAGAGATCATCACCTTCACGCGCAACCACCACTTCACGCGGGGGTATTTGCGAAGCTCCGAGGTCAAGGGCGGGAAGGGCAAGCAGGTCCTGAAACCCGCGGGCACTCGCTTTGGGACGCAATTCATCGCTATTTCCCGCCTTGTCGAAGTCCGTGCTGCCCTCGTGCAGATGGTTTTAAGCGATGAATGGAAGGAGTGGGCAACAGGGGCAAGGAGTAAAAGCGCGGACACTTTCCGCGAGCACATCATGGACGAGGCTTGGTGGAAGAAGGCCGAGTTCTTCACCAAGCTCATGGCGAAGCCATTCGCCGTCATGCGGGCTACGGATGCTGCGACAAAGGGGATGATGGGGCGCCTCTACGACGCCATGCTGCAGCTCACCGAGGACGTGGATGCAATCCTCGAGGAGCACTCCGCGGGTCACCTGACGAGGGCGGAGGTTAAGGAGATCCGCCTCATCGTGAAGGATAGGTGGGATAAGTGCTTGGCGTGCCCCTTGCATGTGGTTGGCAGGATCTTGAATCCGGTCAACCAAGAGGAGGGCATCTTCAGAAACGACATCGAATGCACGCGCGTGCTGAAGGGCTACATCGCCAAGCACTACGACCACCTCACCATCACCGCGAGCGACGGCGAGGAGCGCCGAGCCTCTCTTGTGCTGCAGGAGGAACTGACGGCGTACCTGACCCTGCAGGGGAGTTTCGGGCTGCCCACCGCCTTGGAAGACCGCGCGGCTGTGAAGGCGGGGAAGATGACGGCCGTCCAGTGGTGGAATTGGCACGGCACAGATGCGCCCCACCTTGCTACGTGCGCAATCCGCAACCTTTCGCAGCCGGTGTCCGCGTCGCCCTGTGAGCGCAATTGGTCCATGTGGGACGCGGTCCACACGGCAAGGCGCAACCGCCTCGGGTCCGAGAAGTGCAGGGACCTCGTATATGTTGTGCACAACTGGCAGGTTGTGCACAATTGGTACAAGGTCCCTGAGGGGCAGCGGGTGGTCAAGGGCAACATTCCTGAGGCGCCCCTTCCCGAGGGCTACAAGGTGGAGGAGGATGGGGCGGAGGAGGAGGTTGGGGAGGAAGAGGACATGGTTCTTGAGGATGAGTATGCATAGACATGCATGTGGGGAGGGGGTGGTATGGGATGGGATGGGATGGGCCTATGAAGTGTAGTGATTCCTGAAAAAGGGAAAGGAAAGGGAGGTGGGGTAGGGGGTCTAGTGATGTAGGCAAAATGTTGTGTGCATGTAACCTGCCCTATAATAAAAAGGGGAAGGGAGGTGATGGTGCCTTGCACCACCCCCTTCCCCACATCTTAACCCAAAAAAATTCACCTGCCCGAAACTTTTTTTACCCCTGCCCGGCCCTGCGTTTTCACTGCGTATTAGTCCCCTCCAAAGCTGCGTACTGCGTTTATACGCTAGCGTTTATACGCTAGCGTATAAAACGCGAAACGCGTATACTCCAACTAAGCCTTATACTGCTGCCACACAATCACACTGACCTACTACACCCACAGACCCACCCACCCATCCTCACCCCACCCATCCCCCTCACCTGCACATTGTCATACAGCTCCAGTAGTGGCACCGCCAGCAGCTTGAGATTCTTGGGAACTCCAAAGTACTGGCGCTCTGTTAGAGGAACTACAAAGAGCTTCTTCATCTCCTGTTGGGGAGGAGTGAAGATGAGTGGAGAGGAGTGAGTGAGTGGTCAAGAGGAGTCGAAAGGAGTGAAGTGGAGTCGAGGGGAGTTAGCAGAAAGGGCAGCTTGAGATTCTTGGGAACTCCTAAGTACTGGCGCTCTGTTAGAGGAACCACAAACAGCTCTTTCATCTCCTGTTGATGAGAGGGGGAGTGAAAAGGAGTGGAGAGGAGTGGAGAGGAGTGATTCTTCGGAACTCCAAAGTACTGCCTCTCAGTGAGGGGGACCACAAAGAGCTTCTTCATCTCCTGGAGAGAGGGGAGTGAAGAAGGGTGAAGAGTGGTGGAGAGGAGTGGACGGGAGTGAAGAGGGGTCCGCTGAAAGGGCAGCTTGAGGTTCTTGGGAGCTCCAAAGTACTGGCGCTTTGTGAAGGGAACTCCAAACCACAAAGAGCTTCTTCATTTCCTGATGTGGGGGATGGGAGTGACAAGGGATTGAGAGGAGTGAAGAGGGATGAAGAGGAAATGAGGAATGGCGAGGAGTCAAGAGGAGTGAAGGGGAATGATGAGGTGTGACGAGGAGTTGAAAAAGGAGTGAAGGGAACTTTGAGATTCTTGGGGACTCCAAAGTACAGCCTTTCGGTGAGGGGATCCACAAACAGCTTCTCATTTCCTGTTGGGGAGGAGTGAAGATGAGTGGAGAGGAGTGAGTGAGTTGTCAAGAGGAGTCGAAAGGAGTGAAAGGGAGTCGAGGGGAGTTAGCTGAAAGGGCAGCTTGAGATTCTTACTGGCGCTCTGTGAGGTGAACCACGACCAGCTTCTTCATCTCCTGTTGAAGGGAGAGGAGTGGAGAGGGTTGAAGAGTGGTGGAGAGGAGTGGATGGGAGTGGAGGGGAGTCAGGGCGGCTTGAGATTCCTGGGAAATCCAAAGTACTGTCTCTCGGTGAGAGGAACCACGACCAGCTTCTTCATCTCCTGTTGAAGGGAGAGGAGTGGAGAGGGTTGAAGAGTGGTGGAGAGGAGTGGATGGGAGTGGAGGGGAGTCAGGGCGGCTTGAGATTCCTGGGAACTCCAAAGTACTGTCTCTCGGTGAGAGGAACCACGACCAGCTTCTTCATCTCCTGTTGAAGGGAGAGGAGTGGAGAGGGTTGAAGAGTGGTGGAGAGGAGTGGATGGGAGTGGAGGGGAGTCAGGGCGGCTTGAGATTCCTGGGAACTCCAAAGTACTGTCTCTCGGTGAGAGGAACCACGACCAGCTTCTTCATCTCCTGTTGAAGGGAGAGGAGTGGAGAGGGGTGATGAGTGGTGGAGAGGAGTGGATGGGAGTGAAAGGGAGTGAAGAAGAGTCAGCTGGGTTCTTGGGGACTCCAAAGTACTGCCTCTCTCTCAATGAGGAGAACCACAACGAGCTTCTTCAATAACTGTTGGAAGGGAGGATAGAAGAGGTGTGAAAAGGAGTCAAGAGGAGTGGAGAGGAATGGGAAGGGGAGTGAAGGGGAGTCAGTTGAAACTGGAAAGGTAGCTTGGAACTCCAAAGTACTGCTTCTCAGTGAGGGGAGTTACACAGAGCTTCTTCACCTCATGCCATGTGGAGGAGTGATAACTGGTGAGTTGCAAATAGGAGACGAAAGGAGTGACGAGGAGAGTGACGAGGTGTGAAGAGGAGTGAAGAGGCATATGGCACATGGAGAATGGAATAGTGGGCATGGCACTTACCTGGCCACGCCATGCACAAACCAACTCTGGGTTTGGTGATGACCGGAGGGCAGCAGGGGAACATGAGGGTCTCCAAGTTACCTTTGTTGCGCCGTTGAGGGTCTCCAAGTTACCTTTGTTGCGCCGTTGAGGGTCTCCAAGTTACCTTTGTTGCGCCGTTGAGGGTCTCCAAGTTACCTTTGTTGCGCCATTGAGGGTCTCCAAGTTACCTTTGTTGCGCCGTTGAGGGTCTCCAAGTTACCTTTGTTGCGCCGTTGAGGGTCTCCAAGTTACCTTTGTTGCGCCGTTGAGGGTCTCCAAGTTACCTTTGTTGCGCCTCACACACCGTTCCTCAACAAACTAATGTACTGCCGTGTGTTTCAACAAACCATGGCATGGCATGCCGTCAACCACCCACCTTGGGCTTGGTGATGTGCGGCGGGCAGTAGGGGTACATGAGCGTCTCGAAGTTACCTTAGTAGTGGCGCCTGAAACATCGCTCAAATGTCTTGTGCGTGTTTATTCATCCTGGCAGGCACACCATGCACCAACTCACCTTGGGTTTTGTGATGTGCGGTGGGCAGTAGGGGTACATGAGCGTCCCGAAGTTACTACGCTTACAATACTATTCCTAACTTGTCCTTTCAAATCAATGCCGCACCATGCACCAACCTACCTTGGGTTTTGTGATGTGCGGAGGGCAGTAGGGGTACATGAGCGTCTCGAAGTTGGGTCGCCACCAGACAGCAGAGCACTCGCCCACCTGGCAGGGAAAGAGTGTGGAAGGAAGGGGAGGGTGTCGCGTTATTAACGCCTAGCCAGCAGGCTAAGGCGTGAATTACACAGCAGCCAGGTAATTGTGCATTTCTGGACTTGAGAGCAGTGAGAGCAGTGAGAGGTGCGGGAAGAAAGGAGGGCAGACGGGACACGAACAGCCCAGCATTTATTATCCCTACGGGACACGAACGCCCACGTCTCTACTTGCCAAATCTGTTCTACCCTGCCTTCCGAGCCTGCCTGTCGAACCTAACCCCCCTACCTCCTCACCTGCCAGTCAGGCACGGGCAGAATGGACACGGACGGACCCAGCTTGCTGGTGAGCTTGCGCTTCAGCCCCTCCACCTCTGAGGGAAAGGGGAGTAGGGGAGTGAGATGGGATGGGGTTGAGAGGGGCAACAGGCGGGTGCAATGGGGTTGTGCGATGTCCATGCATGGATGGACACATGAAGCACATGCCTCTGACCATACGGACCCAGCTTGCTGGTGAGCTTGTGCTTAGAGCCCTCCACCTCTATTGGGTGGGAGGAAGGGGACGAGCCGCTATGCGGGGTGGGATGGGGATGATCGGGTATGGGATGGGCGTGAATGGGGGGCATGAGAGCAGCCGATAGGCAGAATGGCTTTTTAGTCGACTCAAAAGTCACCTCGTATGCGGGTATGGGATGGGCGTGAATGGGGGGCATGAGAGCAACCAACAGGCAGAATGGCTTTTGAGTCGACTCAAAAGTCACCTCGTATGCGGGGATGGGATGGGGATGATCGGGTATGGGATGGGCGTGAATGGGGGGCATGAGAGCAACCGACAGGCAAAGAGGCCATGGACGGGTCCAGCTTGCTGGTGAGCTTGCGCTTAAAGCCCTCCACCTCTGGGGAAGTGGGAAGGAGGGAGGGTGGAGCGGGGAAGGGAGCTTGCTGGTGAGCTTGCGCTTAAAGCCCTCCACCTCTGGGGAAGTGGGAAGGAGGGAGGGTGGAGCGGGGAAGGGAGCTTGCTGGTGAGCTTGCGCTTAAAGCCCTCCACCTCTGGGGAAGTGGGAAGGAGGGAGGGTGGAGCGGGGAAGGGAGCTTGCTGGTGAGCTTGCGCTTAAAGCCCTCCACCTCTGGGGAAGTGGGAAGGAGGGAGGGTGGAGCGGGGAAGGGAGCTTGCTGGTGAGCTTGCGCTTAAAGCCCTCCACCTCTGGGGAAGTGGGAAGGAGGGAGGGTGGAGCGGGGAAGGGAGCTTGCTGGTGAGCTTGCGCTTAAAGCCCTCCACCTCTGGGGAAGTGGGAAGGAGGGAGGGTGGAGCGGGGAAGGGAGCTTGCTGGTGAGCTTGCGCTTAAAGCCCTCCACCTCTGGGGAAGTGGGAAGGAGGGAGGGTGGAGCGGGGAAGGGAGCTTGCTGGTGAGCTTGCGCTTAAAGCCCTCCACCTCTGGCGGGAATGAGAATTAGTGGGCATGGGTATGATATGTGGTGCGATGGGGATTGAGTGGGAGTGGGGTGTGCAGAGCACAGCACATACATACATACATGCAAGAACGCATGAAACAAGCGCACGCCACATGACAAGTTCGCACCACAATCTCTGTTACTGCGTTACATACTCGTGCACATGAAAACATGAAAACAGTAGACATCATACTGATGCGTGCGTGCATACTCATGCATGCGCATGGCACGTGTTCGTGCGCATTTGGCATGGCATGATGCGTACTGTAGAGCCTACAACACATCTTCTGTCTCATGCCGCATTGCCGCATAGAAACACCTCCAGTGAAGAACCAGAAAAAACAACAAGTCCTGACAACGTACCATCCTCCCCCGGTTTCAATCTCCCTCCGGGCAGCTTGAAAAAAGAATTTCCGATCTGCAGCAGCAGGATGTGCGGGTGGTTGTGATGGTGGACTAATATAATCCCCTCCACGCTTGTTCTCATGCCCTCCTTCTGATAACTGGAGCAGGGGGGGGGGGGAGGGGCGAGGAAGGGAGGGCGAGGAAGGGAGGGCGAGGGGGGGAGGGCAAAGAAGTGAAGAGAGTGCAAGGGGTACAAGGGGGATAGCAGCAGCAGGGTGTGCGGGTGGTTGTGGTGATGCACCAAGACAATCCCCTCCAAACTCGTCCTCATGCCCTCCTTCTGGTAACTGGTTGGTGGGCGAGGGAAGGAGGGCAAGGGCGGGAGTGCGGTGCAAAGGGTACAACAAGGGGGGTTGCAACAGAGCAGGGTGTGCGGGTGGTTGTGGTGATGCACCAAGACAATCCCCTCCACGCTCGTCCTCATGCCCTCCTTCTGGTAACCGGTGGGCAGGGCAGGGAGGGGCTGGGAGGGGGGAAAGGAAGGAGGGCAAGGGCAGGAGTGAGTGGGCATCAATATCTGGGAGTGGTTTTCAAGGGGGGTTGCAGCAGCAGGATGTGTGGGTGGGTGGTTGTGATGGTGCACCAAGACAATCCCCTCCAAACTCGTCCTCATGCCCTCCTTCTGATAGCTGGTGGGCAGGGAGGGTCTGGGAGGGGGAGATGGGAAAAAAAAAGAAAGAATTAATGCAGCAAGCATGAAGCCATGAATCATGGGGCTGTAATGGTGGTGCACCACCGACGTCTTTTGAGGCTACTTAGGGTTTTGAGACGCCTCAAAACTCAACTTTTATCACCAAGTGCTAGTGAAGGTTGCACTGGGGGGGATACTTAGGTTGCACTGGAGGGGCTACTTAGGTTGCACTTGGGGGGACTACTTAGGTTGCACTTGGGGGGACTACTTAGGTTGCACTTTGGGGGGCTACTTAGGTTGCACTTTGGGGGGACTACTTAGGTTGCACTTGGGGGGACTACTTAGGTTGCACTTGGGGGGACTACTTAGGTTGCACTTGGGGGGGCTACTTAGGTTGCACTTGGGGGGACTACTTAGGTTGCACTTGGGGGGACTACTTAGGTTGCACTTGGGGGACTACTTCAGATTGGTCCGCCCGCCTTAGCGTCCTTCCTTATCCCGCCCGCTCTCCCTGTCCCTCACTCCCTTACCCCCTCACCTATGTTTCATCAGTTTCATACGCGTTAGTGGGTCTTGGAGGCGCCTCAAGAAGTGGGTCCGCCACTGACGTGTCCTTCCCCTCCCCCCCCCCCTGTGTTCCCTCCCTGTGTCCCCTCCCCTTAAGTTCCTTCCCCCTCTCCCTCTTTGTCACTCACTTGTGTGTCATCCGCGCCACTCAGTCCGCCACTGACGTGTCCTTCCCCTCCCCTCACCCCCCATGCTTCCCCATTCCCCCTCCCCCGCTTCCCCAAACCCTTCCCCTTCCCCCCATCGCCTTCCCCATGATTCCGCCCCAGCCGATCAACCGCGGTTGTGCCGTTTCCCTTCTGCCCCTACCCTGCCTCGCTCCCCCTCCTCCCCCCCACCTCCTCTCACCCATTCTCCCCCAGATTCCCCTCACTTGTCTTTCAGCCACGCCAGTCAGTACGCCATTTACCATTTACCATTTACCATTTACCATTTACCATTTACCATTTACCATTTACCTTTTACCAGTCAACTCAAAAGTCAACGCGCCAGCCAGTCAGCACGCCATTTACCTGTCCTTCTTCCCCGTTCCCACTATCCCCTGTTCTCTCATTCCCCATCCACCACCCAACACTTTCTTCCCAACAACCCCCCCTTTCCCCTCCCCCTCCCTCCTCCACCCCCCTCCTCACTTGTGTTTCATCTGCGCCAGCCAGTCCGGACCCTTCTTCCCCCCTCCCCCCACCTTTCCGCTTGTCTCCGGCCCCCCAGTTCCCCGGCATTTCCCCCTTCCTCCCACCTCCTCACTTCCCCCTTCCCACCCCCCCCCTTCTCTCTCACTTGCAATTCATCCGCGCCAGTCGGCCCGCCATTGACTCTCCTTCCCTCAGCCCTTCTTTCCTACTCTCTCGTTCCCTCCAACTCCCCTCATCCCACCTCCTCCCCCATCGCCCTCCATTCCCCGCCCCCTCCCCCCCACCCACCCCCCCATCTCCCCCCACATTCTTCACCATTTCCCCACCCCCCATCCCCGCCCTCCTTTCCCCCATTCCTCCTTTCCCCCTTCCCCATACCCCCTTCCCCCTCCCCCCTCACTTGTGTTTCATCCGCGCCAGACGACCCGCCACGGACGTGTCCGTGAACTCCCCTTAGGTTCCCTACTCTCTCATTCCCCCCTCCCCTCCCCACCCCCCCACCCCCCCCCCCCCCCCCCCCCCCCCCACCTCCCCTCCTTCCCTCCCCCCTCTCCTTCTCCCTCACTCACTTGTGTTTCATGCGCGCCAGTCGATCCGCGACGGACGTGTCCTTTTCGATCTTGGGCTCCTTCACGCCAAACGAGTAGTTCTCTAACGGGTATATGTTCACCACCGGCCCGCCCACCATGCTGACGGAACCTTCGTAGCAGAGCTAGCAACAATCTCTACAGCGTGAATTCTCTATCGAGTAAAGCGAAGACGTCTATACCGAAGTGCTTTGTAGTAAAGAAAGTCTATGGCAAACACTCCTACAGCTAAGACCACTATAGTGACGATTAAATCATCTAAAAAAAGTGGTCCTGGCGAAGGAGACCAGCGAAAACGAGCTGTCAGGAGGCTCGAGGCTGAACCTGAGAAAAATTGCCTACAGCGAAGTCGAATTCTGTAATGCTTGTAAGGTCGCGTGTCTTTTGGAGTGTATGGACGTTCATGTTTTTTTGCTCAACTTTTCACGTTTGAACTCTGGTCGACCTGTGGTCGACTATCGAAAATTTTGTGGTCAAATCGCAGCTAATCTTTCACATCAAGCACTTGGCACAACAAAGTTCGACTATCACAGTTCGACTTTGTACAGTAAATCCCGAGTCGTGCCTAGGTTTCGTAGGCTACCCTGCCTAGAAAGCATAGTTCGTCACCGAATGATGTCATTCTTTGCTTTCGTGCAGTTCGAAAATTCACTGGCACTAGCAGAAGATCACACGTTTGGATTTACGTGGCCGCAAAATTCGACCTCAGTTCAGTGTCCTACAAAATCATCAACTCTAAATTTGGACACACGACCCTCACTAACAACCTTTGACGAATCTAACGAAAACGGTTACCAGCTAAAAGCTGAAGCTTTTATATAGCTTTAAACCAAAAGACACACGCCCTAATAGCTTTCAGCAAGCACAGCCCTGGGAACAACGGTAAAACATGGCGGAGACTGGGGATGTGGTCGTTCTGGCAGTTTGAAGTGCAAGTCGAGCGTACTGCTTCCGGATTCACTTGTAGCATCGTTCGCAAACACCTTCGCTCGATTCGCTAACGCTGGAAGCCACAGCCCTGATAGACCAGCTCGAAACTCTCGAAAGTGGCAAAAAGTTCGCGCCCTATGTGACGAGGTATGGGGGTGAGTCAATCAAGAATGATCTTCGCTTCGATACAGCGATTACTAACAGGTGAATGGCTTTAGGCATCATACATGTAAAACACATATGAACAAGGAACAACAACAAAACATCAAGGGCAAAGCATTCCTTCTTTTATTGACAATCCCTGCAAATAGAAAAATGCGCGCTACTGTACAGTACTAGGTACATCCATTCATGCTATCTACCCACCAGGCAGCATAATGGTCATCATCTACTAGAGTTCGTTCCATGAACACTGGACCCCCCTTCTTGATCTTGTATATCGAGCAAGGAAAGGGCAATGGCTTGTTGAAGCATCTGCACAAAGCAACAGAGAACGGGATGGGAGAAAGGTGGAATGGGTTGAGACCTGGGACTATCGAGACAAAATTTACTGTTAGCAGTAATTATTGGGGGATTGTAAGGGGGGCAGGGGAAGAAAGGGGTGGTGGTGGAAGGAGGACGGAACACATTTCCGAGTAGATGAAATTAATTTAAGAACGGAAAATCGTGACATCCGACCGCTCAACAAAACCAGATGGAAGGGAGAGTATTGATGAAGGGGACATTGAAGGAGGTAAAACGGCGAGGTGTAAACGGGATCGACATGCATATTACGGTAACATGAAAGGCATCTGCTCACCTCATCCTCATCATAGCCATCTTCCAATCCGGGAGCAAGCTGAAACGATTTAGGGTAAGGAAAGGTGGGGTGTTGTAAAACGATATTTCAGTACTGGGAAAAGACTGTTGGACGTTACAAAAGCAACACCTCTGACATGCTTCAGAAGGAGACAACAAGATATAAAAACATTCAGTACAGAAGTGAAGAATGCCACTACTAGCTGTTCGAAATAACTTTTGAGAATTCTCATAAGTGATTTCAGAAGTGAAGAATGCCACTACTAGTTGTTCTCCCAGCTTCTAATTTCCCCTCAAGGGCAAAACTCTTAGAAAATTCTTAGATTGCCACAAACACTAATGTTTTGGGTCACCCCGAAGCTGAGCTCTCGTTCACTCAAAACCTCGTTGCAAACATCTTGTCCTCCCTCTCACTTCCTATTTCACCCCTCCCCTCTCGTTCCATCCCTCAACTCTTCTCCTCTCTCTCCTCTTTTCACTAATCTCACCTCTTCTCCAGGTGGCACGGAGGCAGCAAACTGTGCCATGAAGCGCGCCAACTCCTCACTGCTCAGTAGCTCGTCTGGCGACTGCACACAGGAAGAGAAGGACAGTGGGGGGGGGGGAGAGGAAAGGAGGGGAAGAGAGGAAGGGCAGGGGTGTGTGTGAGGGAGAACGCAAATCCCTCCCACGGAGGCACCAAACTGAGCCATGAAGCGCGCCAAGTCCTCACTGCTGAGAAACTCGTGTGGCGACTGCACCGAGAACATGGTGACAGTGGGGAGCGGAGAGGAGGCAGGGAGGCCAGGCAGGGCGGGGAGGGCAGTGCTGTGTGTGATGGGGGAGGCAGACTGAGCCATGAAGCGCGCCAAGTCCTCAGTGCTCAGTAGCTCGTGTGGCGACTGCACCGAGAACATGCCGGTGGGGAGAGGAGAGGAGGCAGGGAGGGGAGAGGAGGCAGGGAGGGGAGAGGAGGCAGGGAGGGGAGAGGAGGCAGGGAGGGGAGAGGAGGCAGGGAGGGGAGAGGAGGCAGGGAGGGGAGAGGAGGGCGGGCAGGGCAGGGAGCGGCAATGCTGTGTGTGAGGGGGAAGGCAAACTGAGGCATGAAGCGCGCCAAGTCATTACTGCTGAGTAGCTTGTTAGGCGACTGCACCGAGAACATGGTGACAGTGGGGAGCGGAGAGGAGGCAGGGAGGCCAGGCAGGGAAGGCAGGGCAGTGCTGTGTGTGACGGGGAAGTTGCACTCACAGAAGCAACACCAGGTTCATTGCATACCTCAGCAAGGGGGGGTGGGCGCTGGTAGGTGGTGTGTGGAGGGTTCAACTCGTCAGCACTTGGAGGGACATCTGCTCTTGTACTCCTGCCTGATACCCCACCACCACCACCACCAGCACCACCAACAGCAGCGGCACCAGCAGCAGCAGTGAGCGCAGCACCACCATAAGCAGCACGCGGCACTGGCTGTTGCGCATCAGACCCCCCAGGGATGTGATTATAGAGGGAGGAGGCGGGGGGTTCCTGTATGGGGGGTGGCTGCAGCACGTTGTGAAGGAAGATGGCAGCCGAGTCGTAGAAGAAGTTGGGGCGGTGGGAGTTGTGGTCCCCAGCAAAGGTGATCAGATTCTTGTCACCCTGAGAGAAAGGGGAGGGGAGAGGGAGGGGAGAGGGGGAAGAGGGACAGTGGAGGACCGTGCCGTTGAAATCGCTACTCAAAACCCTAACCCATGAACCCTGAACCCAAAGGCTCCTCTACGGGCAGTGGGTGGCTGCAGCACATTGTGCAGGAAGATGGCAGCCGAGTCGTAGTAGAAGTTGGGGCGGCGGGAGTTGTGGTCCCCGCAAAAGTAATGAGATTTTTGTCACCCTGCACTTGGGAAACAGCAGGGGGGTGGGAGGGGGAGAAGGGGAAGAGGCGGCAGAGGGGGAATGGGGGACCATACTGTTGAAATCGCCACTCGAAACCGTAAAACCTGAACCTGATCGGTCCTGTATGGGGGGCGGCTGCAGCACGTTGTGGAGGAAGATGGCAGCCGAGTCGTAGAAGAAGTTGGGGCGGTGGGAGTTGTCCCCCATAGACACCGCATAGCGGCATAGGCCTTGTGTATTTGCTGTGAGTGGTGCGGGGGAATGAAGTTGTCCCCCGAGGCATGCCCAAACAGCACTGGGATGAAGCTGCTCAATACATGAGACTGCATACAGCCGCATACGACCGCATACAACCGCATACGACCGCATACGACCGAATCTGACCAGACAACAACATGCACATGCACCCATCGCATAGGCCTCGTGTATTTGCTGCAAGTGGTGTGGCAGAACAGAATGAAGGTGCATGTCCAAACAGCACCGGGATGAAGCTGCTCCTCGTTACTTACAACCATGTACAAACGCATAAGACCGCATACAACCGAATCTGACCTCACTATGCACACTACACCCACCGCGTAGGCCTCGTGTATTTGCTGTGAGTGGTGCGGCAGAATGAACGTGTCTCCCGAAGCATGCCCGAACAACACCGGAATGAAACTGGTCTTCGCCACTCCCACGGCATCTAGATCGTTGATGTCGAAATCAGGTATCTTCTTCTTGATCAGATTCCGCAGGTAATAAACAAGCATCTTCACCTGTGCGGGGGGAACGGAGGGGGTAATGGCAAAGCAAGATCTCAGTGGTGCAGCAGAAAAACGAGTCACAGCACAGCACAGCACCGAGAGGGGATGAAATGAAGCTGCTGCGTGCATCGAGGTCGATGCTTTGCCATTACCCACTCCCACAGCATCGAGGTCGTTGATGTCGACATCCGGTATCTTCTTCTTGATTAGATACCGCAAGTAGTACACCTGTGCATCTCCACCTGTGGTGGGAAAACGCTAACAGGAAAAGCGAGGCAAGGAGCCCAGCGGTAAAGCAGCAGCAGGAGTCACAGCACTGAGGGGATGAAGCCACATCCAGGTCGTTGATGTCGAAATCAGGAATCTTCTTGATCAAGTTCCGAAGGTAATACACCAGCATCTTCACCTGTGGGTGAAGGGGGAGGGGGCAAACGGTCAAAACAAGGCAGGAGATCAGTCAGTGGCACCACAGCCACAGGAGCCACGGGAGTCACACTGCCACAGCACCGAGAGGGCGTGAAGAGGTGACTTTTGAGTCGACTCAAAAGTCACACTGTCACAGCACCAAGAGGGCGTGAAGCTGCTTGAAGATTGCTTTTGAGATTTCTCAAAAAACATTCAGTCAGTGGCACCGCAGCCACGGGAGTCACACTGTCACAGCACCGAGAGGGCGTGAAGATGCTGCGCTGTGCCACTCCCACAGCTTCCAGGTCGTTGATGTCAAAATCCGGTATTTTCTTGTTTTGAGGCGCCTCAAATCCGGTATTATCTCTTGTTCCGATTCCGCAGGGAGGGAGTACACCAGCCCAGCATCTTCACCTGTCCTGTGGTTGGGCGGGAGGGCGGGCGAGCCGTAGAAGAAAGAAAATCCGCCGTAGGTCTCTCATTGGCTGAAGCAGCAGCAGCAGTCACAACAGCGAGAGGGCGACCTGCTCCTAGTTAGCCACTCCCTCAATTTCGAACCCATTTCGGCAAGGTAACCACGGGCCGTGCAGTGCAACAGCTTGTCCCACATATCCCTCTTGGTTACCCACCTATATTTCAACTTACCCCATGATTATTCAGCCCTATCAGAATTAGGTGGTTGAGCCAGGATTTCAAAGGACAAGACTTGGCAATGTAATAAGAGGTGCGGTTGCGACCCCGCTTGGGACCACCTTCCCGCTTGGGACCACCTTCCCGCTTGGGACCACCTTCCCGCTTGGGACCACCTTCCCGCTTGTGACCACCTTCTCTGCCAATTTTCCATCGCACGCTTCCCAATTTCCCAATGGCGAAGTCGAAGCAGCGCAAGCCCAAGCGGGGCAAAGCAGCACGCGCCGCGACGGCGGCGGTGGCCCCAAGGCAATTCAGGTGAAGTGGCAGGCAGAGTCGTCGGGGCTGAAGGTGAGTGCCTTGTGGGACACCTCGCATGTCGGCGGTGGGCGGTTGCTTGTATAATCCGCACGTGGTATAACGCCTCGCTACCCAATAGGTCACGTCGAGGGGCTTTATTTTAGGCGCGGCGGATTGCCCTTATCCCATCCCATCCCCATTGAGATTCGATGGGTTGAGACGCAGCAAGCCTGCTAAGAGTAACGAGCTATAGCACTAGTCTACTAATCTGAAAGGCGAGGGTAGTAAGAAAAGGTCTACTAATCAGAAAGCCAGACACATAGGCCCGGATGCGTGTGCGAACGCGTTTCGGCCAGCAAAGGCCTTCATCAGCAAAGGTCTATGCAAAGAGGCATATGCCACCACCTCACTTACTCGCACCTATGCATCTTTGCGAGGGATGTTATTTTTGAGATTTCTCAACAGTAACATCACCTATGTTGCTTGGCCGGGGCGCCTCAAGAAGCAAATTTTTGTTTCTTTAACAAACAAGCACACAAACAAACAAACACCATGATGAACTCAACTGGCAAATTTTTCCAACTGACCGTGAATTTGGGCAGCTTGATTTTGAAGGTGTCCACGAGCTCCAGAATGAGGTTGGGCAGGTTGGAAAACGGGCTGTCCAGCACCATCCCCGCTATAGACAGATCCTTTGCCGCGTACATGAGCCTGGACAGGGAACGTGGGAAAAACCAACAAACAGGGGGAAAAACGGGAAAGGGGAGGAGGGCGGGGAGCGGAGAGAGAGGATTAATAATAATGTGCTGTCCAGCACCTTAGTTGCAAAAGACGCTGGGCGCGTCATGCGTCCTGCGTCTGGACGCAGCGTCCGGACACAGGAACGCTGGACGCGCGTCCAGACGCAGGACGCACGGCGGTTTTTTTTTTTTGGGCTGACCGATTTTTTTTGTTTTGCCCCAGCGCGAAATTGACATTCGCGATTTCGACGCGACTGTCGATTTCGGGTCATGTCGACCCCCCCTAATCCATTTCGACCATCAAAAACACCCTAGTGGGTTTACCAACACAATTCTCCTTCGTAAACCCTGAGCCCTGAAAAATTGAAGGGGACAATTTTGCCTCAAATGTGCGCAACGTCGTTCCCCCGCCCCTTCCCATGCCCTATAACATGGTTTTTTTGGCTGCCCGGTGGTTTTTTTTGCCCTGCCCGGGCATGTGTCTTTTTCAGCGTCTCCCAGGCTCTCATGAAGCGTCCTGCGTCTAAGACGCTGCGTCTGGACGCCAACGTCTTAGGCGCAGGACGCGTCTTTTGCAACTAAGTCCAGCACCATCCCTGCTATAGACAGATCCTTTGCTGCGTACATGAGCCTGGAATGGTATGCTGGGAAAATCAGTGATGCAGTAGGTGGGTGGGGGGGGACAACATAGTGGACAAGAGGAGAGGAGGAGGAAGGTGGTGACACACCAAGGAAAAGAGGGGGAGGCTTGCCCTTCATGCACCCAACCCTCATGGATTTCCTCTAAGCGCCCTAAGCAACGCAGAGCCCTAAGCAACGCAGAACCCTAAGCAACGCAGAGCCCTAAGCAACGCAGAGCCCTAAGCAACGCAGAGCCCTAAGCAACGCAGAGCCCTAAGCAACGCACAGCCCTAAGCAACGCAGAGCCCTAGCAAAGCAGAGCCCTAAGCAACGCAGAGCCCTAAGCAACGCAGAGCCCTAAGCAACGCAGAGCCCTAAGCAACGCAGAGCCCTAAGCAAAGCAGAGCCCTAAGCAACGCAGAACCCTAAGCAACGCAGAGCCCTAAGCAACGCAGAACCCTAAGCAACGCAGAGCCCTAAGCAACGCAGAGCCCTAAGCAACGCAGAGCCCTAAGCAACGCAGAGCCCTAAGCAACGCAGAGCCCTAAGCAACGCAGAGCCCTAAGCAACGCAGAGCCCTAAGCAACGCAGAGCCCTAAGCAACGCAGAGCCCTAAGCAACGCAGAGCCCTAAGCAACGCAGAGCCCTAAGCAACGCAGAGCCCTAAGCAACGCAGAGCCCTAAGCAACGCAGAGCCCTAAGCAACGCAGAGCCCTAAGCAACGCAGAGCCCTAAGCAACGCAGAGCCCTAAGCGCTTTCCCCTTCTTCTCTGCCTCAACCCACTTCCTGCGCTCGCAACCACCTCCGCACCGCACTCTCCCTCCTTTCGTCACTCAAGATTTTGCGCTCAAGATTTCTCTTAGCAAAGGTTTAAAAAACTCTCTTTCTTTACTTGCTAAAGCTTTTTCCTAGCACTGCTGCCCTTCCTAACCATGAATGACCACTTCCTGCGCTCGCAACCACCTCCGCATTCTCCCTTCTTTCGTCACTCATGTCACGAGGTGACAGCTCCCATGAACCGCCCCCACAGCCCTATGAGCAGCACAGTGCCCTCCACCTCTCGATTCTCTGCCTCCCCCCTACCCAATGCTGCTTCGCCCCATTCCACTCTTCCCATCCCCACCACTCCCGAGGTCACAGCCCCCATGAACCGCCCCCACAGCTCCCATGAACCGCCCCCACAGCTCCCATGAACCGCCCCCACAGCCCTATGAGCAACAGAGTGCCCTCCACCTCTCCCCTCCACGCCTCTCTCTCCTCCCATTGCCCCTTTGCCCCTTCACATCTTCCCACCCATGCCACTTTCGAGGTGAATGGATCGCCCCCATGGATCGCCCCCATGGATCGCCCCCATGGATCGCACCCACAGCCCTACGAGCGACACGAAGCCCTCGAGGTCAGAGGCAGCAGCAGCAACCCCACAAGAACCCCCTCCTCATGCCTTTTTTGAGAATTCTCGAAACTGTTTTTCTGTGCTACAAGAGGCAGCAGCAACCCCACAAGAACCCCCTCCTCATGCCTCCCCCTCCCCACCCCTTTGGAAGAAACTCACGAGGTCACAGCTCCCATCGACCGCCCCCACAGGCCTATGAGCGACACGCTGCCTTCCGCTCTTAGATGATCCACCACAGTAGTAAGATCCTCCATCTGCAGGGCGAGATGCAGAGACACAGAGACGCAGAGACGCAGAGACGCAGCAACACCGTAGAGCAAGGGAGAGGCGGGAAGAAGTAAAGCAAGAACGTGGGATGATGAGCAACACGCTGCCTTCCGCTCTTAGATGATCCATCACAGAAGGAAAGCAGGAGAAGAGGGAGAGGGGGACAGTAGAGCAGCCGCAAGAGGTTGGGAGAGAGATGAGAGAGGCTGAGAAGAAGGGGCATAGTCCCCTTGGGACATCCCTGAGCAGAGTAGTCCAGCCTCGAGAGATGCTACTTTTGAGAATTCTAAAAAATAACACCAGGATTCGCAAAAGCAACACCAGAATTCTCAAAAGTAACATCAGAATTGTCAGAAGAAGAAGGGGCATAGCCCCCTTGGAACTCCCCAAGCCCAAGAAGTCGAGTACAAAGACGGTAATGTTAAATGTCAGGCAGGATACACACGGCTTTGAGTTTTGCACAAATGAAGCACCCAGAGACTAGCGAGCTCTCCGAATCCTCCTCACAGCTGCAAAATATCATAACTCAAGAAGAGGACCTAGTAAATGAAAAAAACACATCGTTTACCGTGAAATTTAACATAAACGGAACGTGGTCAATAGAAAACGTTTGGATGAAGCTGGCGAGTTAGCGCTTTGATTGATTGACCCCGAGTATTCGAAATGTGAAGCCACTCGGAACGTATGTCTTAAGTTGTCTGGTCGTAGGAGGAAAATCTTGACTATCGTTGGAAAGACCATCACGGACGCTTGTCTAGAAGGTTACCACTGCTGCTCGTAATACGAACGCAAGTCCCCTCGGGACATGCCGGAGCCCGAGATGACTTTTGATTCGACTCAAAAGTCACCTCGTAATGAGCACGTAAGTCCCCTTGGGACATGCCGGAGCCCGAGAAGTCGAGAGCAAAGGAGGTGATGTTGGCTGGGAGGCAGGATACACACATGCCATGTACCCTCGTCTTCCCGGTAGGTTCAACGACCCTCATACAGAACAGAATTCTTCTTCGTACCTCGAATCTCCCCAGCGTGACATAGTCCCCTTGGGATGGGACATGCCTGAGCCCGAGAAGTCGAGCGCACAGACGGTGATGTTGGAAGGAAGCAGCACAAACACGGCTTGGACCTCAAACGATACATGATACGCATTTACAACTCACTGAAAAACACCCTCTTCGTACCTCGAATCTCCCCAGCGTGACATAGTCCCCTTGGGACATTCCCGAGCCTGAGAAGTCGAGAGCAAAGACTGTGATGTTTGATGGGAGCAGCACAAACACTGCTTCACTGGCGTCAGCACGGCAGCCACTGATGAGGGCGGGGGAAGGTATAATGAAAACAAGGGATCTGATGAGACTGTGATGTTGGATGGAAGCAGCACAAACACTGATTCACTGGCGTCGGCACGGCAGCCACTGGTGGGTGGAAGAGATAGTTGGGTGGGTGGTAGAGGGTGGGGGGCTTGGAAAGAAGCAGCACAAACAATGCTTCGCTGGCGTCAGCACGGCAGCCACTGCAGAGAAAGGGGGGGAGGGAAAGAGAGGAAGAGAGTGAAGGGGGATGTGATGTTGGAAGGCAGGAGTACAAACACCGCTTCACTGGCGTCACCACGACACCCACTGGAGTGGGGCCAATAGTGGGAGACGACAGGCAGAGGGCGGGGGAAAGGGAAGAGGGGGGAGGGTGAAGAAGGGGTAAGGTGAAGAAGGGGTAAGGATTGGGCAAAGATTGTGATGTTGGAAGGCAGGAGCACAAACTCGGCTTCACTGGCATCAACACGACACCCACTGGTGTGGGGGCGGGGGGGGCGAGGGGTGGCGGAAAAGAGGGTGGGGGAAGGGGAGGAGTAGGGGACGAACAGGGTGATAAGATGGGGTAGCCATAATGGAAAGAAACAGCTACCCCATCTTATCGCCCTGGCAGAAATACGGCTTCACTGGCGTCAGCACGGCAGCCAGTGGTTGGAGAAGGAGAATCAGGCAATGGCGGAATAAAGGGTGGGGGCAAGGGAGGAGGAGGAGAATAAAAGGGTGGGGGCAAGGGAGGAGGAGGAGAATAAAAGGGTGGGGGCAAGGGAGGAGGAGGAGAATAAAAGGGTGGGGGCAAGGGAGGAGGAGGAGAATAAAAGGGTGGGGGCAAGGGAGGAGGAGGAGAATAAAAGGGTGGGGGCAAGGGAGGAGGAGGAGAATAAAAGGGTGGGGGCAAGGGAGGAGGAGGAGAATAAAAGGGTGGGGGCAAGGGAGGAGGAGGAGAATAAAAGGGTGGGGGCAAGGGAGGAGGAGGAGAATAAAAGGGTGGGGGCAAGGGAGGAGGAGGAGAATAAAAGGGTGGGGGCAAGGGAGGAGGAGGAGAATAAAAGGGTGGGGGCAAGGGAGGAGGAGAGGTCTAAGAGACTGGTAACATGGGTTGGCGACGATGCGATGATGGGGAGAAGAAAATCTGGAGGGCAGAATCTGGATGGCAGAATGTGGACAACAGATTTTGGGCGGCAGAATCTGGATGGCAGAATCTGGACAACAGATTTTGGGCGGCAGAATCTGGACTGAAAACAAACAAGAGCAAGTAAGCAGCAGCCGCACCTGTTCCCATGGCAGTAGATGACACATGGCAGCTTCTGATTGGGCGGGATGTGGGCCGGCATGTAGTGACTGCATTCTAGTACGTGGCCTCGGCTATTTACAAGCTGAGAGCGGGGAGAGGGGGGGGGGGGGGGAGAGATTATGGGAAATGAAGGATGGGAGAGGAAAAGAGTTTTTGCATGTAGTGACTGCATTCTAGTACGTGGCCTCTGCTATTTACAAGCTGCGGAGGGGGAGAGGGGGGAGGAGAAGATGGGGGGGTTGGGGGGGGAAGAGATTTGAGATGAAGGGTGGGAGAGGGAGGGAGGGGGTTTGCCCAATAGTGACTGCATTCTAGCACGTGGCCTCTGCTATTTACCAGCTGAGAGGGGGAAAGAGAGGTCGGGGAAGGATGAGTGGTGAAAGGTGGGAGAGGGGGGTGGGGAGAGGGAGGGGGAGAGGGGGAGAAGGGTAGAGGGAGGGGGGGAGAGGGAGGGGGGGAGAGGGAGGGGGGTAGAGGGAGGGGGGGAGAGGGAGGGGGGGAGAGGGAGGGGGGTAGAGGGAGGGGGGTAGAGGAAAGGGGGTTGTTTGCCAATAGGAGCTAGATTCTAGCAGGTGGCCTCAGGTGTTCACAAGCTGGGAGGGGGGAGAGCTGGGTGGGAGAGAAGGATGAGAGGTGAAGGGTGGGAAACGGAGGGTGGGGGAGAGGAAGGGGTGGTGTTTGCTGGAAGTGACTGCATTCTAGCAAGTGTAGAGAGGTTATTTTTGAGACGTCCCAAAAATAATCACTCTACAAGGGTTGGCGTTTGCTGATAGTGACTGCATTCTAGCTCGTAACCTCGGGTGTTTGCAAGCTGAGAGCGGAAGGAGAGGGGAGAAGGGGGGCGGGGGATGGGATGGGGGGGATGAGAGGGGGAGAGTAAGCATGATTTTTGAGTCTACTCAAAAGGGATGAGAGGGGGAGAGTAAGCATGGGATAGGAAGAAAGAAACGCACTGGCATGGGGTTTTCAGATATTGGCGGCTGACTGGAGCGGACTGTATTCCTAATATAAATAGCCCTAAAGTTAACCCAGTATCACTAGTGAATTTGCTGCTGTAGCACCACAGTCGCACCTGAAGGTCGTGGCGGCGGCCAGCAGTATTGCCTTCAAAAGTCTGGAATCCCCGGTAGAGAGTTAATCTGATGTATCACTAGTGAATTTGCTGCTGCAGCACCACAGTCGCACCTGAAGGTCGTGGCGGCAGTATTGCCTTCCTCTGAGAGCAAAGAGCGGCCCCACGAGGTCTGTCTGTACTCGACTGATATCACTTTTGAAATCAACGCTGCAGCACCACAGTCGCACCTGAAGGTCGTGGCGGCGGTATTGCCTTCCTCTGAGAGCAAAGAGCGGCCCCACGAGGTCTGTCTGTACTCGACTGGTATCACTTTTGAAATCAACGCCGCAGCACCACAGTCGCACCTGAAGGTCATGGCGGCGGTATTGCCTTCTTCTGAGCGCAAAGAGCGGCCCCACCAGGTCTGTCTGTACTGAATACTCCGCACTGCGCGGAAGGGGGAGGAGGAGCAGGGAAGGGAAGGTAGTAGAAGTAAGGGGTTGCGCCGGAGGAAGAGACGGGTCTTGAGGCGCCGCAACAGTCCCCTGTGAGCAAAGAGCGGCCCCACCAGGTCTGTCTGTACTGAATACTCCGCACTGTGGGAGGTAGGGGGGAACGGGGTGGTGGGCGGAGGAAAATGGGGAGGGAGGAGGGAGCGAGGGAGGGTAGAAGCTGAGACAGGTTTGACCCAACGGCACCTTCCATACCGTTCCAAGAAGGCCGGTTAGACAGATTCAGGATCTGGCCCAATAGAGCTGGCAAGCGGATTCCATTAATGAGTATACTTCACACCGTCGCGAGGAGGACGATAAAAAGGTTCACGATTTGATCCAGCATGGCGGACAAGCCAAAGCGTGGCTGCTCATAACGGGTAAATATTTTATCGAAGCCAGAAACGACAAATCGTACCGAGGAGGACGGATGACCAGGTTCACGATCTGATCCAACATGGCTGGCAAGCGTCTGCTGATAACGGGTATATCTTCTATCAACGCCAAAAACGACAAGCGTACCGAGGAGGCCGGATGACCAGGTTCACGATTTGATCCAACATGGCTGGCAAGCCGAGGCGTGGCTGGGGTCTCCGCAATATATCCGCGCAAAGATATGCGTCAAGCTCTTGTTTACGAAAGGATTCCCACACCCGTCTGAACGCCGCTAGGACCAATCAGATTGCGCCAGGCCAGCTCTGCCACCTACGCCACGTGGCAGAGGTTGATAGGGATACACGAGAGAGCACTTGGAGGTTGACTGAGACGACCGAATAGGGCTATTGGGTCACTAGCTGGCTCTTTTCTGAGGAGGCTCTAAAGGATATCCACAGGACCGTTTGTTCGTGCTATATTACTCTTTTTTCAGTAGCGCCGCGTCGCGAAGTGATTTAGTGGTTAGGCAGATTGATTGATATAGGAGAAGCTTCTATTCCTAACATCTCATGTTCGCAACGGCATGTCAAGATACGCGACAGGATTACACGTTACGACTGGACGCGAGAGGATTAAACGCCACAACTGGACCTGTCACTAAGTACTCGCCATGTCGCCAGTAGGCACTGTTAGTATTTCCTTCTGTAAACTGTACAAACTCGGTTGAAGGCAAGAGCACAGTCTTATTAGACACCTGTGATCCTGCGTCGCAGACCAGCGTCTATGTAAACTAAATCGTAATACCGAGCATGAAGGTGTGGCAATATGAAGTTGAGAGCTGTTGGTAAAAAGTCTTTCCTGCTCACTGTTTCGAACAATTCGAGCACCAACATCGATGAACATCAAAGCTACTCTTCAAGGTCGCATTTCGCGTCAGTTGAAACGCAAGTAACAAGCACTGGTAGTCTCAATGTCTGTTCATTCTGCCTATTTGTTCCGTTCGTTTCAGTTTCTTTTTGTCTGATTCAGTTTTGATTCTGCTGGCCTCTGGCTGTTCCGAAGCAACAGAGAACGGTCTCGATTTTGGCGGTTTGGGTGTTGTCTCTGCGTTGCTGGCGGGAGAGGTTGGGATGGAGTGTCAGGTTGGCTTCATAAGGGTATGCTTCAAATGGGGGAGCTCTGAATATCTGGTCTCTCATTGGATGTTCCACCCTCCTGATGTTGACCGCAATGGACTATCTTGCACCCGACAGAACCTATATGAAGCGGACGTGCTCGTACGCTGTATAAGGATCCTGGGTACAGATCACGTTGAGCTAGCTCAAACTCATCGCACCTTGACTTTAGAACAGAAATTTAACCTGGTGGATCTCAACTTTGATAAATTCACATACCGTACTTAGAGCTTTGAGTCAGGTATTCTGATGCGACAGTCGTTTTTGGTATGTTCAATGCTAGCTGTGGAGACAAAAGTTCTGATATCTGAGATTTCAGGTTTAGAGGGAGGAACATCAATCGCAGGTGATACATTGAAAAATCCATGTGGCTGCACATATAGAATGGAGGGAGGTGGCATAAGAGCGAAGGGAAAGAATGGTGTTAGGGCAATAAATTTTCATACTATGGAAATGCAAGATACCGGTTCACCATGCAGATATGTTACTATCGTGTACGATTTGTGCTTTGAATATTGCATTTGACAAATGTAAGGAAAATCTCTTTCCCTTACTTCGCGTCCCTGCTCAACGCGTACATCACTGTAGCACCTCAATCAGCACCGTTACCACTCGCGACCATCGCATCATTCATCATCCCGCCCTTTTCGCACATCGCATCCCGACCTCACGGCTCGGCTGTTAACCCGCGCTCCGGGCCTACGCTTCGACACTTTCCCAACCTCAGTCCCAGGCTCGTCGCGCGACCATTACCGTTACCACTATAGTTTCGCTATATAATGTTCGCTCATGCCTTCGCTCAATTGTATTCTTGCTTCGATAGTGCAATTCTCGTTCGTTCACTCAATTGCACTCGTAACACTTGGTATTCAGAGCCTACGATCTCATCTCGGACCGCATCCACACCTTCGCTTCCCACTATCTCAATTTTTGGGGGGGGTAGACGTCTCTCAGCGACACAGCACCGCCGCTCGTAGTGCTCTCTCGAAAGCACGCACGGCCACGACCGAGGCTCTTGCTGAGCTTGCCCGACACCCCCGCCATGGCCGATTTCAATCTCGCCACGATGACGCAGGAGCAACTCGATCGTCTCGTGCGTCAATTGGAGGATTCGGCGCTCGAAATCGCGACTCTTACGGCGGAACGTGACTCCGCCCGTCAACAGTCAACGGTGAACGCACCGACGACATCACACGCACCAACCAATGCATCTGCACATTCGGAGGAGCCCATCGTCATCTCATCCGGCACACCAACGCAACACAACAGCACGGGACAGCGCTCAGGCCCAGCCAGTGACGGCGCAGCCCAACCGATGCCCGGCATGGGAGGGAACAGGAGCGCATTAAGCACACGGGAGCCCCGAGAAGCCCGTCGGCACGTGGAGTTTGCGGCGACAAGTGGCGAGAACGCCATGATGGCCCCAACGCCACTCAAGCCGCAACGCCCGCCCTGCTTCGACCCAAGCCAACGCGGCGGCCCGACAGTTCAATCGTGGGTCTTCACGATAAATGTGTTTTTCGACGCCAACTACGTCGAGTCGGACGCCGCCAAGATCCGGTATGCGGTCTCACTACTCAGGGGCCCCGCCATGGACTGGTGGCGAGTCATTGTGACGTCGCCGCGCGCCTACGAGCCACCATCGCACGAGGAAGGGCCCTCGGGTCCAGCTGTTACCTGGAGTTCGTTCTGCGAAACCGCCCAATACAGCACGTGGGATGCGTGCTGCGCAGGGCTTCGGGCGCGCTTTGAGCCGATCGCGGCCTCGATTTCAGCGCGTCAGAAACTGCACACTTGGCGCCAGCTCGGGTCTGTTCAAGACTACACCAGCGGGTTTCTCGCCCTTTGCGAACAGGTCGGCTACATGCACGAGGCGGAGCGGGTGGACCGTTACGTCGGAGGGCTGAAGCCGGACATCTCGCACGAGATAATGCTACGCGGGCTCTCGAATTTCAACGAGATCCTCGCGCTCGCCGAGAAAATCGATATCCTACGCCGACCGAGACCGGGGTCCTATTACGGACATCGTCCTCGGGGATCGACCGAGCACGCCACTGTACATGCCATCGCAGCGAATGCAGCTGCCGCGCCGTTTAGAGGGCGCTGCTTTGCTTGCAACCGGCCGGGCCATCGCAAGAGCGAATGTCCAGAGGAGCTGAGGCGTCGAGGAGCAGAGCAGGGGAGGGAGTCTCGGAGGCAGGGAAACGCCAGCAGTCAGTAGAAGTTGGGCCAACTACTGACGAGACTGCCTGCTCGCCCAGCCACACCGACCCTCACCGAGTCACAGTACCGATTCACGCCATCGATCGGGCTCGGATGAATAAGGAGGGTACAGCGACGGATTGCCCGGTACTGATCTACGGGAAAATACAGGGAGCAGCAGTGAAGATCTTCATTGACAGAGGAGCAAGCCACAGCTTAGTTAATACCGCAACCGCACGAAAATTACTGTTAACGCTTAACCGATGTTTACCTGAGATAGATGCACGCTTAGTCGACGGCACGCCCCTGGCCATACGGGAAAAGGTGGAGCGCGTAAAAGTCCGCTGCGGGGGGAACTTCGGGTTTACACAGGAAATGCTCGCGACGACACTGGATGGGCACGACATTTTATTGGGACGTGATTGGTTGCGACGGTACAGCCCACGGATCGACTGGACAACGGGGAGCTGCACAGTGCGAAGTAGTGGTAACTAGGTCGTTCTACCTTGCTGGCAGCCACCCAAATCTTCGACGGTCCAGGTCAACGCCATCACGATGAAACGGGCTGTCGCTGCTGGAGCTGACGTGTACGCAGTGGATATCGCACTCGTAGAAAAAGATGAGCAGCCGAGTGATTTGGAGAAACTGCTGGCAGCTGTACCGACCGAACTACAAGCACTACTGAAACGGTTCCCGGGGATATTTCCGGATGATTTACCACAGGGACTGCCACCTCAGCGGGCGCACGACCATAGGATCGAGTTAGAACCGGGGGCACAGCCAACTGTACAGCGGCAATTTCGACTGACACAGCCCGAGCTCGACGAGTTAAGGAAGCAGTTAGATTACCTGTTAGAGAAGCTGTTTATCCGACCGAGCTCGTCACCATTCGCCGCACCGATACTGTTCACACCGAAAAAAGGCGGAGGGTTCCGCATGTGCATCGACTACCGAGCGCTTAACAGGGTAACAGTCAAATCGCGATACCCCATCCTCCCGCGCCGACGAACTGATCGACCAACTGCGAACAGCACGAGTCTTTTCGAAAATAGATTTACAGGGAGGTTACCATCAGATTCGGGTCGAACCATTGGACTGCGCCAAAACAGCATTTAGGACTAGGTACGGGTCATTCGAGTATACAGTAATGCCATTCGGGCTGACGAACGCGCCTGCGACATTTCAGATGACCATGAACGAGGCGTTTAGACCACTTTTAGATAAATGCGTCATAGTTTACCTGCACGATATTCTAGTTTACAACCGGGATAAGCAGCAGCACTTAGTGGATCTTGAAGCAGTTTTTAAGGTTTTGGAGGAACATCGGCTACTCACCAAGGGCTCCAAGTGCGAGTTTTTTCGGGACAGGCTAGAGTTTTTGGGTCACGTCATTTCGGAGGCTGGGGTTGAGATTGACCCAAAGAAGCTGGATATGGTAAAAGCGTGGCGCCCCCCGACGAACATCACGGAACTGCAGAGTTTTTTAGGTTTTGTTAATTACGTTCGACGGTTTGTGCCCGACATGGCACGTTTAACAGCCCCACTCACTGATTTACTGCGTAAGGGGGTCGCTTTTACGTGGGGGGAGAAAGAGCATGCTGCCTTCTCTGCCCTGAAAAACGTTCTCTGTTCACCACCCGTTCTACGCATCGCTGATCCCCACTGCCCTTTCGAAGTGGTTACAGACGCAAGTGACATCGCCATCGGAGCTGTACTGTTACAGGACTTCGGCGACGGCCTCCAACCCATCGCCTACGAATCACGCAAACTACATCCGCCTGAGCGAAATTACCCGATACACGACCGCGAAA